AGCATTGTAAACATCCATTTGATGAATAGACCACTGCCTTGAAGCTGCAATAGACAACACACTTCTGACAGTAACCATTTTCACCACAGGTGAAAAGGTTTCTTGGTAGTCTAAACCTTCTCTCTGATTATACCCTTTGGCCACCAATCTAGCTTTGAACCTTTCAATTTCTCGTGATGCCTTGTATTTAATCTTATAAACCCACTTGCATCCTATTGCCTTTTGTCCTTGTGGTAAGGATGCCAGTTCCCAAGTTTTATTGTCCTCCAATGCTTTGATTTTTGCTTGCATTGCCTCTACCTATCTCTTGTCCTTTACTGCCTCTGAATATGATGTAGGTTCCACTTCCACTGAAAAATTTGCCAAGTAGCTTTGATATTTTGAAGAGATGCCTTCATATCCAATCACCTCTGACATAGGGTACTTGCAGCATCTTGTAGAACTTCTCTTGTCATCTCTAACATAATCCTTAAGCCATATGGGAGGCTTAGATACTCTTGTGGATTTTCTAGGTTCCCCATCATCAGGCAAAATAAGAGGATCACCAGGACTATCCACACTGTTATACTCAACAGGGTGTGAAATGTCTTGCTCATCTGAGATTACTGGAGTTAGAGTAGGAGAGCATGGCATATTGGTTCCCTCAATATGTGCATCAGTAGCAGAACTGACTGCTTTCAGTTCTTCATCAAAATCTTGTCTTGGCACTGGAATTTTGTCCAAAAATAATGATTGTAATGATCCTTCTGCTGTGTGGAAGGGAAATATATCCTCATATAAAACTACATCTCTGCTTATAAAGAATACTCTATTCTCCAAATCCAAAAGTCTGTAACCTTTCTGATGTGCAGCATATCCTAGGAAAACTGACCTCACAGCTCGAGGAGCAAATTTATCATGGCTTGTCAGATTAGTAGCAAAACACAAACATCCAATCACCTTTAAATGTGCCAATGAAGGTGGCTTATTCAGAAGTAATTCATATGGTGACTTATGTCCCAAGACAGAAGAAGGAATTCTGTTGATTATATATACAACAGCATCAATACAATGTCCCCAATATCTAACAGGTAAGTGGCCTTGAAATCTGATTGCTCGAGCAGTCTCCAGTATATGTCTATGTCTCCTTTCCACAACTCCATTTTGTTGGGGAATATATGGACATGAGCTTTGATGAACAATCCCATATATTTGAAACAAGTCATCACATGCACTACTAAAAAACTCACTCCCATTGTCTGATCTAAACATCTTAATTTGCTTCCCAAACTGTGTTTTGATCATAGTAATAAAGTTCTTGAGTAAGAAAATAACATCAGATTTGAGTCTCATAAGAAATACCCAAGTCCATCTGGTACAATCATCAACCAATGTAAGAAAGTATTTCATGCCATTATGAGTAGCAATCTTATAGGGTCCCTCACACATCCATATGGATCAAATCAAAAGCATGTGAACTTCTACTAGTACTAGTTGGAAAAGGTGCTCTAGTTTGTCTAGCTAGAGGACAAATTTCACACTTAGACAATGAGTCATTATTTATTCTACTACCATAGTGTTGTATACTAGGAATCCTTCTGAGAACTTGAATTGGGACATGTCCTGTTCTTCTGTGCCAGATTTCCATGCCTCCTTCTTTACTGGTAGCTGCAAAAGCTCTATTCACAGTCTTCCCTAAAGCTGTTGACAATATGTACAGATCTTCTTCACTTCTACCAATCTCCTTCACCCTACCAGATAAGAGGTCCTGGAACACACAATTTTTGGGAAAAAAAGTAACACTGCATTTAAGATCTTCTGTCACTTTAGAGACTGACATGAGGTTAAACTTAAAAGCAGGTACACAAAACACATCTTTCAGTACATCACCTCCTGTGAGTTGACACTCCCCCATATGTAAGATTGATGCTGAATCTCCAGTAGGTAATTGCACTTGTCCTGAATTTCCTACTGAAGTTTCATTTTTCAGTAAACTCTTATCACCAGTCATGTGGTTAGTAGCACCAGTATCTACTATCCATTTGCAAAGTTCTAAGTTCTCACATAAGGCTACATTACCACAAAAGCACTTACCTGCCATGTTTGCATTAGTCCCTGCAGTAGAGCCTTTGTTCAGCAATTGCAACAACTGGTTATATTGTTCTTTAGTGAAGAACTGAGTTGGTTCAACATTACTGCTTGGCTGATATATGCTTGTGGTTGGTGAAGCTATCACTCCTTGCTATCCAGATCCATCTATCATGACTGCATTTGCTTTCTTCTTCTGCTTGAAATCAGATGGATAACCAATAATCTTGTAACAGTTCTCCTTCAAGTGCCCTGTCTTATTACAAAATTCACACCTCATCAATTTATAACATTCATTTCTAGTATGGCCTTTCATATGACAAAAATCACATTCTAAGCTATAGTTTCTCCTTGGCTTAGATGGTAAGCTTGGCATTAATAGAATCTGGCTCCTTGCTTGCTCAAAATTATCATTCAATCCCATCAAAAATTGCAGCAGTCGTTGATACTCCAATTGTTCAATATACTCAGTGGCTGAAGTAGGAGATGGCAGTATGGAATCATATTCTGCCCAAAGGTCTTTTAGCTTGGTGAAATAAATTGATACTGACGAAATCCCCTGTGTTAGGGTGAATATTTCCTTATGCAAGTAATACAATCTCGATGCATTCACTTTGTCAAAACGTTCCTTAAAAGCAGCCTACACTTTCTGTGCATTCGAAGAAAATAACACTCCTGTTACCAAATCTCTGCTCACATTGCTCATGAGCCAAGAGGTCACAGTCGCATTGCACCTATCCCACTGACTTCCCAGATTTGGGCCAAAATCCTCCTTCGATGTTGATCCATCAACTAAATACAATTTGTTCTTTCCTAATAATGCTACTTTCATTGCACGACTCCAAAGAGAGTAATTTTTCATACCTATCAAAATGAGTCCCACAGACATCGATCCCGGACCATCAGATGCATGCAAGTAGAGAGGATGGTTATGATCTAACACAATCGAGCTAGGTATCGTTCCGATGCTTGTATTGTCTCCATTGTTCGCATTATCAGCTGAGTTCTCAGGAGGCGCCATTGATAGACCTCAAAATTAGGGTTCAAAGCTTCTGAATTTGAGCAGATTCTCTCGAATTATCTTCAATTATGCGAAGAAATTCCCTAGAATCACTCGATCAATGCTCTGATACCATGAAGAATTTAGACTATGCAGTTGAAGAGAGAAATTGAGATTAGAACTTTCGAGAGAAAAACAGTCAAGAGCAGTGCTCTGTGTTTCGATACAACTAACTCAACTAGAAAGAAGAAGAAGCTACAGTGTATTTAACTAACTAACCACCTTAGGACAGCTGTACACCACTAACACTAACTAATACTATAGTTAAGTTAAGCTACCTAAGTTTAACTACTAAGGTTAACCTATATTCTTTACAGCACTACCACATTAGTTATAGACTAATAAGTGACTTTAATATGATGGATGTGGAAACTCGAGTGCAGTTTTCAACAAAAAGAAACTCATATACTTATAAAAGAAGCATTCTAAAATACATGTCAAGATGGGGAATTTGAGCAAAATACATGCGCTGAATCTATCTCACAACCATCTCATTGGAAGAATTCCAGAAAGTTTCTCATACTTACATGAAGTTGAGAGTTTAGATCTTTCCTACAACAGCTTGAATGTGAGTATTCCTGTTGGTCTACTTGAGCTACATCCTTTGGAAGTATTCAGTGTGGCTTACAATAATTTATCTGGTAGAGTACCAGACTTTAAAGGTCAATTCGGAACTTTCGACAAAAGCAGCTATGAGGAGAATCCATTTCTTTGTGGTTATCCATACAATGAATGTAGCAGCACTAAATTGTTAAATACCTCCAAGAATGGAAGTGATGAATCTGACTTGGATTAAAAGGAAAGTTTCTACATCGGCTTTGGCGTGTCTTATGGAGCAATCTTGCTGGGATTAGCTGTAGCACTCTGCTTCAATTCTTATTGGAGAAGAGCATGGTTTAGGCTTGTTGAGTCATTGATGCTCACTTCTCACTATTTTCTCTTAGACAATGTTGTTAGCCCTTTCAAGAATTGGTGGTGAAGGAAAGGTAATTGTTATTCTCTTATTGTATGAACTTTATCATTTGCTATATTGCTACTTTATTCTCCTCAATAAAATTGATACATTTCAGACATTTCTTTTCTCTTATCTTTCCGTCGTTTTAGATTATGGTAACATAATAGGTTACCATAAGAGTGAAATAAATGGAAAAAACTAAGACGAGACTTTGAAACTTCTTGACTTTTAAAAGTAGGCTTTACACAGACACTTCAACAGAGAGAGAGAAAAAACCTTTTTAAGTTTTAAGATAATTTCATAAGCAATTATTGAACTTTACCTCCTATTACCACATTTGAATGAGATAAATTATCATCAATCGATTTTATATGTACTATGGAAGTTGGAGGAAAGCAGTGATGACTTCCACTTGTTTTAAGCTTAAAAGTTCAAATTAAATGCCCTTCATTGAACATGAAAGTTTCTTCTATTTCTTCACTCCATAATGAAAAAATAAATAAATTATACAGTAAGAGTTATTAATTCAGTATTTTTTATTTATTTACGCGTTTGATTAATATTAAAAAGTATTTATAAGCTAAATTTAGTCAAAAACCATCAAATGATCAGCTTATAAGCAATTTTGGTTTGATCAAATCTTTTATTATTTTATCCGTAATATCTTTTGTATTTTTCAAAACAAAATTTCTAGCTCTCTCTTTATTCAATGTTTGTCATTCGTTTATAAAAAAAAATGTAAAAGCACTTTTAAATTTACTTTTTTTATATAAATATATTTAAGGATATATCATTTAGTTTAATATTTTTTCCAAACACAATCACTGCTCATTGTAATTTTTGACACTTCTATCAAAAGACATATATATAACAACATAGAGGGAGAGAGAGACAACTAAAAAGAACTTAAGAGTAAGAGACTGTACACGCCTTAGTCTTATTTTGTTCATTTGCTTTTAGGCTCTTCTTGTTTTTCTCTTTTATAAACTTTTAATCATCTTAAATAGTTTAATCTCCAAGCTAATTTGTACACATATCTGCTATGGAAAAGGAAGCTTACCCAATGCAGAAAGGATACTGGTTCACTGATTCCATAACCTGCCAACCAGAGTACCTTTAGATTGCTCAACCCTCTACATTTCTCATTGATGCCTTCATCTGAAAAATGAAATATCATATTTCACCGTTGCATAAGTTTTTCTACTGCAACCCCCCCTCCCCCCGCGAACAGAAAAGTTACACCCCCAAATTTCGCGAAATTCCATCTCTCGCCAGACCGCGACTAAAGCAAACTCAAATTTGGCAGTTTCGAAGTAAAGAGGCGTATCTTCAGAAAAAATTGATTCAGATTTTTATAAGAAACCTATTCCCTCTGACGAAAAAAAAAAACTATTCCCTTTGACGGCTTTTGCTCGGATTCAATTGATCTGGTCTGTTTCTTTTTAATTTTTCCTGTTCAAGTTTCTATTGTTTTCCTATATTTTGTGGTTGTCAATTTTGTCAGCTGATTGCTTGGTTACTAGCCTCATGATTTAGCAATTTTGGCAGTTCATTTTTGGCTTCTGTGAAATTCAATTCAGGTTTGTGTTAGGCTAGATTTGTACATCGTTCCGTGTTTCAGTCAGAGTCAAATCTCAGCTTCTTCCGTCACCTTATTACTCGTTTCTCCTTTACTTTTCAGTTTCTTCATATGTGCTGGATGAAACAAAATTGTGTTTAATTCTTTTTTGTTGATTGACAAGGTTGTGTTTAATTTGAATCTATTTTTGTTGAGGCAAGGGTTAGGGTTTGTGAGTGTGTTTATAAGCTACAATTTTATTTAATTTTGAAAGTTTGTTTCTTCGATGCTCATCTTAACAATGTCATTATTATCGCGTGAATTTGACATTTCGGCTTGGTAATTGTCTTTCTATTTCACTCATTTCTTTTTCAGCGTCTTTGTTCATCTCCATATCTTTATCCTGCATTATCGATCAGTACCGGTGAACTTATAATGCGCCATTTTACTGGTATGTTGCAGCCTCTCTGTTTGTTCTGCTTCTTGTAATATTTAGCTGTTTCTTTCATGTTATCTTATCTTGTTTTCGTTTTTGTTACATTGTTGGTTATTTGGAGTATATATTTGTAGCATCTCACTTGCTTCTTTTGCTAGTTGTTTCCAATTGAATTCGAGCTTAAGAATGTGAAGTGTTGAAGAAATTGTTTGAGTCTTTATTCATGGGTGTAAAACCTGTTCAAGAGTCATCTAATGATGTAATCCAGAGAGTAAGACTTGCCTTACTACCTGTTTTTCTTCTTGGTTGGGAGAAAAGAGAGAAAAAAACAAGAAGAAGAGAAAGTTCAAGAAGAATGGGTGGAATCTTTAGCATTTTTTTAATAGTATGATGTAGGGGCACATATACAAATTGTCCGGTTCCTGCTTCTTAGAAGACAAAATAAAGAATGAAGGCCAGCAACTATTAGCATCTGTTGTGGAGTGGATTTTAACAGTATGAACTAGTTCTACTATTGGTGGTCTTGCAAGATATGTAGGGAATATGAGTATTTATCGTGTGTTGATTAAAAGAAGTAGCAACATAGCAAATGATGGAGTCCGTACAATAAGAGTGAGAACAATGATTACCAAACCAAGGTTCCTGCACCATCTATTCTTGAAGGAACTAACAACACTGTCTAAGAGAAAATAATAAGAACTGAGCATCAATGCCTCAGCAAGCCTACATCATGCTCTTCTCCTATAAGGATCGAAGCAGAGTGCTGCAGCTAATCCTAGCAAGATTGCTCCACGACAAATCCGATGTAGACACTCTCCTTATACTGAAGTCAGACTCCTCTCTTCCATTCTTGGAGGTATTTCACAATTTAATACTGTTACGTTCGTCGTCTAATGGATGACCACAAAGAAAAGGATTTCCTTGACAGTTGCTTTTCTCGAAAGTTTCGAACAGAGCTTTAGACTTAGGTACTGCACCAGATAAGTTATTGTATGCCACGCTGAATATCTCCAAAGAATGTAGTACGCTGCCAAGAATTCTCCCATTCAAGTTGTTGCAGGAAACGTCTAAACTCTCGATTTCTTGTAAATTGGAGAAGGCATCTGGGATTCTTCCAATGAGATGGTTGTGTGATAGATTCAATGCATGTATTTTGCTCACATTCCCGAGATCAATGGGAATTTCACCAGTTAATCTGTTACTTGAGAGATCAATAACTGACATGTATCTGAGAATGCTTCCCTTATAAAAGTATGAGTTTCTTTTTGTTGAAAAATGGACCTGGGTTTCCACATCCATGTAATTGCAGTCACTTGGAAATAACTTCTATTGTGGTAGTGCCTTGTTGAACTTACCCAATCCAGGAAAATTAACCACACTTGCTTCGAAATCCCTGTATAATAGATCCCTATTATTTCTTGTGATGACTCGATAGGTTATTTATAGTCTTATCCTTCATTTCTCTATTTTGAGACCTCAAATAGCTTCGTTTAGCCTTTCTTGATTTGCGTGCGCAGTCCGTGTCCTTTTTCCGGAAGGTTTTTATGAGAAAATTGATGAAAATGTGAAATCGTGCCTTAAAACTTATCTGAGTTGACTACGGTCAACGTTTTGTGTAAACAGATCCCGATCAATATTTTGATGATTCTGGTGGGTCTGTATCGTGATTTGGGACTTGGGCATATGCCCAGAATCGAATTCGGAAGTCCCTAGCTTGATTCAACGTAATTTGTTGAAAACTAAAAATTTGAAGATTTAAAAGATTCATAAGTTTGACCGTTAGTTGACTTTGTTGTTACTGGGTTCGGATTTCGGTTCCGGAACTTGGTATAAGTTCATTACAATATTTATGACTTGTTTACAAAATTTGGTGCAAAACGGAGTTGATTAGACGTGATTCAGACGTCCGGTTGAGAAATTGCATGTTCTTAAGTTTCATTGAAAATTTCATTCATTTTGGTGTCTGATTCGTAGTTCTAGGTGTTATTTTGGTGTTTTGATCGAGTGAGCGAGTTCGTATGATGTTTCTGGACTTATGTGCATATTTTGTTTGGAGCCCAGAGGGCTCGGGTGAGTTTCGTATAGGCTACAGATGATTTTGAACTTAGGAAAATGCTGGTTTTAGTTTCTGCTGGTTTCTGGTGAATGCTTCTTCACGATTGCGAAGATATTCCCGCGATCGCGAAGAGTAGTTTGGGACTGGGGTGGATTTACTCCTCGCGAACGCGAGGATTTGGACGCGAACGTGGAGCAATGGGGGCTTTGCCCTTCGGGAACGCGGCCACTCCATCGCGAACGCGTAGTGTTAGAAGGCGGGGGCTGGGAATGAAACTTACGCTACGCGAACGCGAGCCTAGGCTCGCAAAGGCGAAGGCGAGGTGGGCTAAGCCTACACGAACGCATAGAGTGTGTCGCGATTGCGTAAGCCAACTGGGTAGCGCCTTTCGCGAACGCGTCAGGTGTCTCACGAACGCGATAAACACCTAACGCCCAGTCATTTAAATTCCAAAAATCGGGATTTCACCCATTTTTCACCATCTTTTCATTAGAGCTCGGCCTAGACGCGATATGGAGGAGAAATTTCATCACCCTTACATAAGTTAGTGTACTTTAACTTATTTTCTTCCATTTTCATCATCATCCACTAATTTCTAGCCTTAATCTATATACTCTCATGGTAGAAAATTAGGGATTTGGGAAGAATTGGGGGGGGGGGGGGGGTCTTGTAAAATTGAGATTTAGACCTCAAATTGAGGTCGGATTTTGAAACTAATTGCATAATCGAGCTTGGGGTGAATGGGTAATTGCGTTTTAGTCCGAATCTCGGATTTTGACCAAGCGGGCCCGTGATTGACTTTTTGGGAGAAGTTTAAAGATCTTAATTTTATATATCGTAATTGATTTCCCTAGTATTATTTGATGTTATTGAGTCGATCTTGGTTATATTCGATCGGTTTGGAGGCAAGTGCACGAGCGACTAGAATAATACAGATAATGGTCTGAATGAAAGTAAAACTGTCTGAAAAGAAATAAACAGCTAGGATAAGGTAGAAGGGGACTTCAGGGCTGCGAACGCCGAGTAGCTGTACCTCAAGTCTTTATCCGATGGTGAATTCGAGCAATCTACTGACCGTCGCTGGGACCGACTGCAAAATCTGCACATGAAGTGCAGAGTATAGTATGAGTACAACCGACCCCATGTACTCTGTAAGTGTCGAGCCTAACCTCGATGAAGTAGTGACGAGGCTAAGGCGGGTCATTTATAATAACTTGTACGCAGTATAATAATAATAACAGGAAAGGAATACGTGAAAGTAAGGCAGTTAACTTATGAAAATAAACTCAATCCTTGAAATTAGTAAAACCAGAAATAAAAATCCTCAGAATCTCGTAAAAACACCGAAGCCAACACACTACAACAAGGAATACAAAACACACAAAACCGTTGCGGTGTGCAATCCGATCCCACCGTACAAACATGATTCTCCCTTATTTCATCATATCAATAACAATAATAATAAGTAAAATCCGTTGCGGTGCGCAAGCCGATCCCACAATATAATCAGAATCAATATCATAATTCTCCCTTATTTCACCATATCAATCCTCCCTTATTCCACTTGTTGCGGCGTGCAACCCGACCACCATATCAATATCAATCCTCCCTTATTCCACCTGTTGCGGCGTGCAACCCAATCCATAAACACAAATCAATAAATGAAATCAATTCAACAACTCGAATCACAAAAATCTCTAAGATTAACGAATATGGAAGCAGAACCGTAAAGAAAATCTCGTACCAAATAGAGAAATGTTATAATTAATACTAAGCAGCAAAACAAGTCAAATAAATGACAACTAAATGGTACAAGCAAGTCAATTAAGGCAAGTAGCAGTTAATCATGGAAGCATTGGAAAAACTAACATTTTAATACTAGAATAATAAATGGCAAGTAGCAAATTAAAGCATAAAAAACAATTAAAGGATGGAACAGTTAAGATATGGAATAAAGTAATTAATGAAATGCGGGAAAGCATGAAAACAAGTAATTTCACGGCGCATATACACCCGTTCTAAACTTTGCGGACAAGTTCCAAATGACAAAACAGACTTATTCCAAGTCCCGAAATAGAAATTCAATTACAATAGCTATGAAGTCAACCTACGGTCAAACTTATCAAAATTCTAAAACTTTAAATTGCCAACTTTCGGCAAGACAACACAAATCAACCTACGGACCTCCGAAATTGATTCCAGGGATACTGTCACAACCCAATTTCCTACTATAGATCGTGATGACGTCCAATGTCGCCGTTAGGCAAGCCAACGGTGAGCTATCAATTCGATTATTTATTTTATTATTTTTAAAATCATAAGTCTTATTAAGTAAAGGATTCAATGCGTTTAAAAAAAATCATGAATACTTAAAATATTAGTAAGATATAAAATAGAAGATGACAATATCAAGCCGAACAATAAACAATCATTAGAGTATCCCAAAATCTGTTGTCACAAGTGCATGAACATTTACTGAGGAGTACAATAATAATATAACCTCTGTCTAAAATATAAATAAGACATGATAAAGTAAATAGTACGATGGAGACTCTGTGGGTTGCGATGCGTAGCCTGGAATGCAGCTCACCATAAAATCTCCTCAGCAGTTGCGCCTACGCGCCAAGATGACCACCAAATGAACCTGTCAGATCCTGCATATTTAGTGCAGAAGTGCAGCATGAGTACGTAAATCAACGCGTACCCAGTAAGTATCTAGACTAATTCCGGAGAAGTATTGAGGATGGGTCGACATCGACACTTACTAATGGTCCAATAAATCAGTATGATAATTCATAAACAGATATGAAGTACAACAGTTGTAGTGAGGTAAAAAAACTGTAACTAACATAATCTTTCATAATTTCTTTTAACGATATAAATTTCTCAATCTCGTATTCTACCTCAACAACTCGGTAAATATCAAGCGCCAATAACAAACGGATAAGGAGTACCATATAAAATGCCAGGCATCAGTGGAAGGAAAATCTCGTGAATATTCAGACTGCTAATGCCGAGGTCCTACGACCTGATCAAGAGTGGTGTGTACACTGCCGAGAGTCGACCGGCGCGAACCAGAGATGCATCTCAATATACTGCCGAGGCGTTCAGCCCGCTTCACAAGAAAGGAAGAAACTTATCGAATTACGAGTCACGTGCTTACAACACAGATACAGGTGCATAATAGTGAATATACCCCTTTCTATTTATCAAATATCTTGGCAACAACTCAAGGTGATAAAGCTCGGCCTAATATATATATATATATATATATATATATATATATATATATATATATATATATATATATATATATATATATATATATATATATGTTTCTAAATCAATTTCAATTATAAATTCAATTAATTAAGCAAGCAAAATAAGTCCAAATAATTCAGATATTACATAATAAAGTCTTAAGTCTACCCGAACATAAACATGCTTTAGCTACGTATGGACTCTCGTCACTTCGTGCGTACATAGCACCCACAACTAGTAGCACATAACAATTACAACACCTAAGGGGTAGTTTCTGTAACGACCCGACCGGTCGTTTCATGGGTTATCTCTCCGTTTTCCCCATTTCTGCTTCTTTATGTCCTGTTCAGCTGTATAATGTGGTATCGGGTTAGTTGGTTCGGGTTCGGAGTGATTTTGGGGAGGTTTGAGACACTTAGTCTCTTTTGAGCAAGCTTGAGTTGGAAAAGTCAACCGGACGTTGCTTATGTGAAAAAGGGCTCGGATGTGAATTTTGACGGTTCAGATAGCTTCATTAGGTGATTTGGGACTTAGGAGCGTGATCGAAATGTAATTTGGAGATCCGTGGTAGATTTAGGCTTGAATTGGCGAAATTGGAATTTTGGCGCTTTCAGGTTGGTAGTGGAAATTTTGATATCAGGGGTCGGAATGGAATTCCGGAGATTGGAGTAGGTTCGTTGTGTCATTTGTGACGTGTGTGCAAAATTTCAGGTCATTCGGAGGTGGTTTGATAGACTTTTTGATCGTTTGTGGAATTCGAAAGTTTTGAGAATCTTAGGCTTGAATTCGAGGGTGTTTTGACTATTCGATGTTGTTTGGAGTGTTCCGAAGGTTGGTATAAGTTTGAATAGTGTAATGTGACTTGTTCGTACTTTTGGTTGAGGTCCCGGGGGCCTCGGTGGTTTCAGATGGTTATCGGGAAGTTTGGGAATTGGAGTTTGCAGCTAAAGCTGTTGAAGTTCTGTCATAACCGCAGCTGCGGTTAGGGGGCCGCAGGTGCGATGACCACAGAAGGGAGATCAAGCCGCAGATGTGGCCACAGGTGAGGAAGGCAGAAGCCGCAAATGTAGAGAGTGGAGCGCACCTGCGAAGGCGCAGGTGC